AACGTTGAGTAGGTTTGTCAAGTCGTTCACAACAACGGCTAGTGCTTCGGCATTATCTCCAGTGACTCGATCATTTTCAAATATTGTTTGTCAGTCCTTGTACAAGGGAAAATACTTGTTGCACATTGTTCGAGCAATGGGATAGTACTGCCTGTTAGGGTTGTGCGTTGGTTGGTTTGGTTAAAAACCAGCCATAAAACCAACCAAACTCATCCAACCAACTTTGGTCAATATTGGAAACCGTTATCGACCCAATTTACCTGGGTTGGGTGATGGTTGAAAACCAATTTAGTGGATCGGTTGATGGTTTGGTTGATGGGTCATCCATCTAAATATTTTTTTAATTTTATTTAATATTTTATTAGTTATTACAACACTATATATTTTATAAATTAAATGTGATTTGTTCAACAATATTCAAATAAAAAAAATTCAAAACATTACGGGGCATATATATTGTAAACATAAATAGTTCAACGAATAATAATCGTCCAAATATTTAGACTATATGTCTTAAAATTAAAATAGTTCAAATTAGATAATTATGTTAGATTTATTGGTTTTAGGATTTTGATCAATATTAAACAATTAAATAAACGTGATATAAAACAGAATTTGAAATTAAAAATATTAAATGTTTTAAATAAAATTAATAAATAATAAATTAATAAATAAAGTTGGTTGGCCGATATTATCCGACTAACCAACTTTATATCATCTTAGAAACCATTATCGACCCAACTATATATGGGTTGGTTGAGATTATCGACCCAACGTAAATGGGTCGGTTGATGGTTGATTAACCGTCACAAATTATGGGTCGAAAATGGGTTGGTTGATGGTTAAAACCGATCCATGCACAGCCCTACTGCCTGTATGTGAAACATATAATAATGATGTTGACAAATTAAAGAGAAAACTGAATAGTCATTGTTAACCTCAAATTTAAACGTCTGCAAAATAAATTACAAGACAAGAAAAAATAGGAACAAATAAATATATTTTAATCAAAACGAAAATGGGTTACAATCTTTGTTGATTCCTCTGATTCTTCTCCTAGATATAATCCAAGGGCCGAAGCCTGTTCTTGAATTGAAAGCTTGATTCCACCGTTGATTTGCGGAAGTAGATATGAATATCTAGAAATCGATTTGGGGATTTCTAGGTCTTGTGGATTTGGTGCCTTGATGAAGATGTAGAACCTCCGCGGTTGTTGTTCTTCGTCGTGGCGAGAGCTCGAGACTTGAGAGCTTTTGAGTGCTTGATGTACGCCTTGTTTGATGCTTCTTTTTTTGTATGTTTGCATGTGTCCTCTTTTTATAGGCTCGATTTAGGGTTTCTTCACTTGAAACTTGGGCCAGTAGACTTAAACACTTGCAGCTTAATATATTTGGGTTAGACTTGGGCCCAAATAATTAACACAAAAAATAAGAATTTATTACTTATTTTTTGGTTAAATCATTTAACATATTTGTAAAAATCCAAATTTATTATGGATTTTGATTCAAAGTCCAAATTTATTATGGACTTTGATTCGAGATCCAAATTAATAACCAATTCATGTGGGCTATTAATTTGTAATTTAATCCCATGATTTAACAAAATTTCGATGTCAACAGTCATAATAAAAAGACTTGTAATGAGTGCAACGCAATAAATTACGTTCAAATACTCATCCCACAGTGCAACCTCAACATCTATTGTATTTGCCGTATCCTTCCAACTTAAACCCGAACGACTTAACATGCTGCAAATCGATCCATAAGCCTTTTTCCAAACATGAAGTTTGGACGCTATATGTGGAGTTCCCTTTGGATCGGTCCCAGGGAAATGTTGCATCAAGTGTTGTTCTAGCACCCCCTAACCTGTTTTCAAACCGCTGTCATACTTCCACCCCCTAGAAACAATATTTTTAAGTGCGAGGATGATAAAAAAAATTTCGGGACCAGTCCAACTGCGACACACTATTCCCGTCGATTTGACGGATCCTTTTTCCTTCGATTTTTGAGATAATGATGTCGACATAATGTTTGCATAATAAATTTCATTGCCGAACGTGAATAAATATATCGATCGACTTATTATTGCATTATTGAAAATAAAAAATCGAAGAAGTTATGATATATGGATAATGCAAACACAAAAATAAATTGTACCATAGTCTACTGTGGAAAATTACAATAAACATGAAAATGAATGCATAATGTCAAATAAACACAGTACCAAACATTGCAAGTTAAATATGATATTAAGAACTAATTGCAAGTGAATCCCGCCAGCTAATCCATTCATCGGATATCTCGACTGTCTCAATGAAGTTGCTACGATTGATGGGGGTTATATAATTTTTTCCGGTACTTCGTATTCTTCGCGATCATGGTCACTATTCGTACAAATAAAGTTATGCCAAATAAGCAACACGACATAATAATTCCATTTTTTTTTTTGATCAGATAATACGAGGGGCTTAAGTATCCCAAATGCTCATTCTATTGCATTACGTGTCTTTGCGTGCTTCAAGTTAAAATATTCTTCATGGACACGTACCAAATTTGTACCATCACTGAACTCCTGGAGATGATACCTAGTATTTTTGTATGGTGCCAAAAATCCATTCCTATTAGTATACCCGTTGTCAACTAAGTAATAATGCCCTAGAAAGCGTGGATTTAATAGGGACTATTAAAGGTACTTAGTATTAATAAATATGTAAAGGGTACAAATGATGACTAAAAAAAAATTCCTACCCTTTGGAACTAGTAGACCATTGTGTCGAATAATAGCGTCTCGTAGAATCCTACTATCGGCGGCGGATCCCTCCCAACCGGTTTCATGATGGGAAATAACATGCAAGAACAAGGTAGTTTCCTCTATAATTGAGATGTTCCTAGTGGCGACCAATCCACCAACATTTTCAAGGAGGTAAAAAAACTGTAATGTCGAACACCACCGTAAGGTTTCATATGGGTACGAACAATGCGTATGTTAACATGAACTTTCATTTGCTCATTTATGTGAGTAACTAGAACTACTATGGCTTCATCATTTTCTATATTGTCTTCCATACAAATAACTAAGCTGGCGGGCATAGGACAAATATGGAGAAAGTTCAAAACATTAGACAAACGTCAAATGTTTTTCAATTCCAATACTAAATTCAAACAAAAAAAGCATAATCCAGTGTACTTTAAATTTAGGTTTTCATTGGACAAAAATACACACTTAACAAGTAAGTGCCCAACAAGTATAACCAAATGCAATATATGTCACATTAGCCAAAATGCACAGTACATAAATATGCGTAATTAACATAATTATAATTCAAAGCAACACTTAAGCCATAATTAACAAAACAATATTTGAAAGCCCTCTTTTATATGTCCCATTAACAATTATAAAAAAACAGATAACACCAATATGACCACAACATCGAAAACATAAAGACATAAAGTAAAAATACCTCAAATTTAAATGTATTCACAAAAGCCAGAAGGAAATAAAAAAATGCCACAAAACTTTTACAGAAAAACCCACGATTTCACCCTCAACAACACTCCTCCAAATTTGAGAAGATCCAAAAACCGACTCAGCCGCCACAACCGAGTGAGTGTACCAACAATTAAGAGCACAAGATTGGAAACGGTAGAAATTGCAGAGATGAAATCCAAGTGTTACCTGGTTGCCACCCAACAAAAAACGAAGAGGGGCTGAAATAATTTGGTGATAATGAAAAGCTATTTACACAATGCTAATTTGTAATTTGAACATGTTGAAGACGACAATTTGGTAAGTGAAAGTTTGAGTGTATCCAACAATTTGTCCAAGATTCAATAATATGGGGTGCATGTAGGGCTGGGCATGGGTTGGTTTTATCGGCCAACCGATCCGCTTTCGACCTGCTTCTTTAGGCCGACAATTTTTTCGGCCGATAATTCTGTTGTCTGGTCGGTAATTTTAACCGAACCATATATAAGTGGATCGGTCGGTAGTTTTCAATTTACTCAAAATAATAATTTTTTTTTATAAATATTTTTTATTTTTTTTATTTTTTAATGTTAAAATAATATATAAAAGACGTTAAAACTCAAAACACAAATTTATAAACCTCTTCGTATTATTTCTATTTTATAATTCTTATTTCATATCCTTCATTATATATTTACTTATCGTAGAAGTTTAATAATAAAACTCTTAATTTTATAATTAAGATTTTCACAAAATATATTTTGAATTTTTTTTAAAAATATATTATTATTATAAAAAAAATTAAAAATAAAAATAATAATAAATAGATGGCCGATAATACCGACCAACCACCCATTGTTTACCCGACTAAATCGGTTGCCAACCATTATCCGATCCATAATGGTCGGGCCGATAATGATTTTCAACTTTCAGCAGAATGGGATGGTCGGGCCGAGTAGGTAATTGGCGATAATTACCTGACGTGACCCATGCCCAGCCCTAGGTGCAGGGTGTGATTATACAGTCTTGGAACTCCAAGAGAAGGGAAGATTAAATTACCGGCCACTTATCAGTCTCGAGCCGGTGTAATTGAAACCTAACCTTAGTTTCAAGGGGATTAATTAGTCAGTCTTGCCCATTCATTGACAGCAAAAGAGCCCATATATTATTTTTTGATAACAAATCTATAGACATATATAATACAATATAACACGAGATGCACAAATGATTGATTACCAGTAGTACAGAGCAGAGCTAGTATTAAGAGAGAACTGGAGATGTATACATATCTAACTATTTCTGATCATAATTGATATTGGATCAACACAAGAATTTTTTATTTATTTATTTTATTTTATATTTTTTTTCACAATCAAAGAATACAGAAGGACAAGTTTACAAATGATTGCCAAAGATGACAAGTTACCAAGTATAAAGGTGTCTTCATTTTGAGTCTTATTCTTAATAAATGTTTCTTGATTTACGAAAAAGAAAAAATACATTTAAAAAGACTAAAATAACCATGATCATTTAATGATGTGATAAGATAGAGTTAATACTTATAACTGAATTAATAAGGTTAAAACAGTAAAAAATACATTAATAATACATTTAATTCAGTATTATAATTTATAAATCTAAAGTGACAGATAATATGGAACACAAATATTTTTAAAAAGAGACACATCGACTCCTCATAATTTATTCCAAAGCTCAAATTGATGATGGTTGTGGAAACACAAATAAGAAACTTATCATCTAAGAACAACCTTCAACTTGGTCTCCACTTGTTCTCGCACTTTCCACTGCATAATTGTAATAATAACTCACTTAGATTTCGAATAATCATCCTATAGAATAATAACTACAAAAAAAAATATATATATATAATATATACCTGTAAATCGTTAATTTCTTCATCGGTAAGTGATCGTTCCATGGACCTATACGCTATCCTATAACAATGACTCGTCATTCCTTTCTTGTTCGTGAAGTTATCAATCAATTTCACCTGCCAAAACATTGCATAATATACATATTTTTATTTAATTAAATTTCTCCATAGTATTCATCTTATGAAAATATCCGATGAACATAACATACCTCCTCGACAAGATCCCCTGCAATACCTCTAACAACCTCACATAGGTTGTTTTCAGTAAATGAATCGCTAATCCACAAACTCATATCCTTGTAACATGGTGGATACTGCACAACAAAATATCCCAATCGTAAAAAGTTAAGCAATGCAGGAATAAAAATGATAAATATTTCTTGGTAACAAACATTATACTCGTCGTACCTTTGAAAATGGCTTAAACTTGACACCAAGCTGGCCTTTTGCGAACTACATAAAAATTGACGGGTCAGATTTTTTAGAAAAAAAAACTGGCAACGAGTACTCGTGATCAATATATATATATTTATGTACCTGTGAGGTAAACCGTTTGTCACTAGTCCAGAAAAGGCGAATATCTGGAATATCAAATAAAACCATTGCTAAGCGCTCAAGTCCAAGCCCGAAAGCCCAAGCAACATTGTCGGTCCGACCACTTCTCTTCAATATTTCTTGCTCCATCACTCCACAACCCAACACTTCCAGCCATTTTTCCTAATTACTTTTAAACAGAATCAGTACACGGTGAATAAATAATTCATTAGAAAATATTACTCTGGTTCAAATCCCTTAATAGAATGGGTAGAACAAGATTCAACAATTTATCTTATAAGAAATAAACCCCAGAGACTTGAAAATCTCTCCTAAATTCGAGATACACGGGTTGGTTTTAATTAATATTTACTATACAGATGGAATAGTACCTGGAAGTATATCTCCAACTCAAATGAGGGATTCGTGAAGGGAAAATATGTGTCGATCCAACGCATTTCCACACCACCTGATAAAGTGCTTCAAAATCAGATGCTGCGATCTTACAATAGTAATCTCAATAGAAGGAAAATCAGTATTCGATGTTACATCCAACGATTGGCTTTTCGATGAACAAAATTAACAACTTTCCTTTTTCAACAAGGTAGATGTATGTATTAATGTCCAACAATTTTTTCACCATTAAAATAGACCATATTGCAATAAATATTGTACCAAATAAATGGCTTGCCAAACCCTCGAGGCATTTCTTTAGATCCTCAGCTGCATACAATGTACCATCAGTACCGGATCCCTCCCAGTCGGCTGGCGTAAAAACACGTACACCTTCCATCTGAATCGTCATGCATAAAAGAAGACATTATTTGATGAACTAAAAGATGAAGTAGATGCCATTATTTGTAACAACTTATCAGTCACTGATGGAAAAAAATAAAAAATAAAAAAATAAAAAAAATCAGAAAACCTGATGGAAGACTGGGTAGTGGGTAGAGTCGATTGAATCTCTACGGTAAACATCTCCAGTAACAAGGAAATGAGTATTGCCTTGCCTTAGTAACTCTGCTTGATGTGCACTTGTATGGCATCTCAGTACTGTTTCAGAATCCACGTAATATGTGTCATTATAACTCCGGCTTACATGATCAGCAGGCACCAATACATCATCAAAGTTCTGTAAGAATAACACAATATAACAATACATTCTGATTATGCATCATCAACGATTGACAAAACTCGAGTTTAAAACTGAATATCAAGAAAATACGCATCTAATGAAAAATTTTGATATCGACAAACTTAATTTTTGAGTTTATACATCCCAAGTCATTGAAATCACCGAGTATTTTAAGAAACACGTTAGTTGTTTATAGCTCACCATCTACTCGGATATAGCAGATATATTCGAGTAGTATAGTATTTACATTTTACACAGACGAGAACTAAAATCTAGCAGCACAAAACAAGTCAGTGTTTCATTTCTCAAAGGACTTCAGCAAATCAACGCAACTTTAATTTGGGCTTAAATAACTATGAACTGGCAACTATCAGCATCAAGTTCAGCAAAGATATTGATTAAGAAACAATTCAACGAGAAATCACTGCCGTGCCCCAAAAACTAGTAAACATACCGCTTTAACAGAAACAAGAGGGCATAAGTTGTCGAACTTTTCGAATTTGTTTGGGTAGTTAGTGTCGAAGTAATCAAATATTGCATTCTTTAGTATGCCGAGCGGATGTTGATCCCTCCTATGGAGCTGCATCCCAAGCTTCGAGAATATAGTGTCGGAAACATTGTTCGTCGGGTCATCTTTCACTATCTCTGCACGCGCATTAACATGTTTTAACTCATTAAGCAAGCATCAGATCATAAGTGATTTAAGAAAAAAATAAAATTGAAACAATTCTAAAAACCTTAATTGGTAGTAAATACAGAACAAGTACCAATCGAAAATTCATCTATTATATTTATACATTCACCAAATCACCATTGAAGAGTATAATAAGATGCTGAAATTAAAAACCTAATTGCGGACATTCGAAGATAGATCATACATCGTAACAATTAAGAAATTGAAGAAAAATGAAGCAGTCGGTGGGAAATTTTACCATCCCGGGAAATATTGACGCCGCCGCCAAGTTCGAGAAGAGAGGCGGACACCGCCGGTGATTGTCTGGACCTATGAACTTTATTTTCCGGAAAAGGAGCGGCGGTGGCGGAGGAGGAGGTGGAGAAAGATGAAAATTGGAGAGGAAGGGCAAACAAGGTTCTCCGATGGAGAAAAATGCAAGGCTTTAGGAATAAAGTCGCCGCCATTGGAAACTGTGCTGCTCCGCCTGACCGGAGGTGGTGGTACGGTGGCTGGTGGAGGATTGAATTGGTCCGTTTGTTTGGATAAGCTGAACCATTTTGTTGTTGGGCCTTGACCCGATCTGTTATTCATCGGGCCGCTGCTAATTTTCTGCAAGTATATATGTAGGACCCGCAATTGAGCCGGACCTACCCGAAGCCCGATTGTTTGGCTCGATTTTATTTGAGACTTAATTGATTATGAGCTGGGTCAAGTAGCCATTTTACCAAATTCGATTCATTTATGAGTCGAGTTTGAGCCTACTATGTCTCAACCTGAATAAGGCTCGACCGGTTAAGTTAATAATTAAATTATAATCTATTTATTATTTTATGCTCAACATCTAAAAAATAGTTATGAGTATATCTAGAATTGCTTCTACAGTAGAACCTCGATAAATTAATAACTTCGCTTAAATAATAGTTTATCTCGGTGAAAATGTGTTAAATTATTATCTCGATAATTTAATAATTTGCTAAATTAATAGAATTTTTCTAGTCCCCATTGTATTAATTTATAGAGGTTTAATTGTATTTGTTTTATGTTTCTTTATTTTCGACTCTAATGCATTTTTGGTAGTATTAATTACTTAAGGATTAAACTTCATTTCTTTTAAGGAACAAACATTGGTTTTCATTTTCCAATGCGATTATAGTTTTTATCTTGTTTTTATCTTCATGAATATTTTAATATGAGCTCATAAATTTCAATATTTTGAAACCTGATCGGACCGGCCGATTGAGTTAAACCGCGAACCATTATCTTGTTCGATTCAGTTTGACCATATTAATTTGAGCTCATAAATTTCAGTGATTTGAAAATTGAGTTTTCCCCCCAAAATTGCATTTGAAAACAAACAAACAAACAAATAAAATGGCCAAACCAACATTTTTTACAATACAATTGAAAAAATAAATAAACTCAAAATAAAAAAAATAAAAAAAAAGGCGTGTTATTTTTTTATTATAATCTTATATCTTATATATAAAAGATATAAAAGAAAGAAACGTTAGGACAACCTAAAAAATCCTAATGACATATTTGTAAAAATAAATTAATTTATGTGATACAAATTTATGTTTTGAAATTCCCCCCTCGTACTTCTTGATTTCTCGTGTGGGCACTAACTGCATCTAAAAAAAAGAAAAAGTCGTTAGGGGCTGGGATTGGTGTCGGCGAAAACCCTCCGACGCTCAAGTCAGCTTTGCATTATAGAAGAATTCAGAGAATTCAAGAAACTGCTCGGGACTTATGAATTGCGTATCTTTGATTATGAGGTTTCCAGAAGCATAATTTGAGCATAATTGCTTAGATCGTATCAATTTGGGCCTTAGTTAATTTGAACTTGTATTGTTAGATTTAGTAGGTTTGGTTTGTGTGCATTTATTAAATTGTCGATACGAGCCTTTGGATGTGAGTCGTCGTCAAAATCTAAAGAGAGAAAATAAAAATTAGGCAATAAGATGTTTTGGTACAAAGCATGCAACGAGTATTTCATGGAGCCACTTGTATGTATAAGAGGCGGAGTCATATATTTGAATCCCGCAAGCGACAGCTAGCAGTGCTCCAAAAGTGATAGAACGCAATAATACCATTTGCTTAACTCATTCATAATTAATTATTGACAATTTTATAGAAAAAGAAAAAATATATTTCTATTTTTTTTCTATTTTTATGTGTATATTGTTGATTGATTTTTCAATTAATATACCTTTTAGAATGATAATGTAAGACAAATTCAAAGTGGTGGCTCCACTGAACACATATCTTCAATAATTCACAAAAGCAACTTGTCAATTTATTACACTGATAATAATAATTACTCAATATATATTGTTAAATGTTAAGTTTGTATACTAATCATTGAATGAAATTGATGTCACAATGATTGATATTATGATGATCTGAAATTGCCGTTACGTCTCAAAATTGAATGGAATTATCGACATTTGATTTTGAAGGCCAAAATAAAAGATTTAATTTTTTTGTTTGGAAGTAAAAGATAGAAGATAATTTTTATTGTAATTATCATTAAAGTAGTAAAAATAATATATAATCTCATGGAATTAGTAGTTCTTGAAAGATACTTTTATAAATTATTTAGAGTAGAGGATTGGGGTTCGAATCCTGTCTCCCTCCCTCCCTACTTCCGTCAATTTGTAACATGAGTTGAATTTTTCAAAAAATAAAAATAAAAAGACAGGACAACAATTGTCACGATGTATTTGAAAATAAACTGGTCCCACAAGGGATGACATAACATTCCACAAGGGATGACATAACGGTTGGAGCATGTGTTAATTGACCCAAGTTCGAATGTCACTGCTAACGGACGTTAGGTCGAACTTGTCACACATGGTTAGCATGTGGTTTATGTCTCTCTTGTAATTTATTAGCTATTATACGGGAGTGTATGTTTATCCAGTGCACCTATATAATTGACTAGGGTTCGGCTTCATTATATAGAGAAAAATAGTAAAATTTGAAAAAAAGAATCCTAATAAAAATGAAATCAACGCCGCGAAATCAATCCCTAGAAATGAACACTTTTAAGTTTGAATTAGAAAAGAATTGTTAACTTTAAACATCATATCATTATTAAATGGGTTTGGGTATTTCCAAAAAGGAAAAGATATTTTAATTTAGTCCCTAAAAAAAATTAATTTAATTCCAAGAACTTTGTAGGCAAGTAAAGTAAGCATATAAATAAGTTTATCTAGTAATGGATGATCATAATTTGATCTTGTGAATGTGTCAATAGTTGAGAGCTTGGTATGAAATTCAATATGTGCCACCATGCACAAAATGTTGGGCCAATTTTCTCTATATATACCCATTATATTTCTCAACCTTCAAATATTCTTAGAAAGTTTAGACTTGAAGAAAATTATATTTGATAATCCTAGTTTTTACTACTAATTTCTATTTTTCTTTGTTTTTCCAATTTAAATTTTGCAAGAGAGAGAGAGAGAGAGAGAGAGAGAGAGAGAGAGAGATATGGCACTTTTCAACATGGAAAATCCGTTAGTACTTACCTTTGGAATTTTAGGTAACCAAGTTTTCAATTAATCCCCTCAACTTGTGTTTTCTTGAAACAATTTAGGGGAGTTAGATTCTACACTTAATTATGTGTAGATTTATAGTTGAAATTTAGACAGTATAATTAATTGGGTGTAGCATCTAACTACACGCAATTTAGCTATGTCATATTTTGTAACACAAAATTTTTATGTCGACAAACTAGGCAACATTAGCGAAGGAATTATAACTTGACAAACTATAGAGAATTCTATAAATTTATCGCCAAGTACTTGTTCAAATTACTTTGCGTTTATGCCCTAGTCATTTTTCTAAAAACATCAACAATATACTAGCTATGGATTGATAAATTTCTTAAATTTTGTAGGTAACCTTGTCGCTTTCTTGGTGTATCTGGCCCCAGCGTAAGTTATTTTCTTGGGAAAATTACAGTTTCCAACCTTCAAATTTGCACTGATTTCACATTTAGTCCTTCATGTTCACAAAAAATACACTCGATCCCTCATGTTTCAATAATTTAATACATTTGGCCATTTCTGTCAATTTACTGTTAGTCCATCAGTTAAGGCAGTGTTGGGCACATTCTTGATTTCGTTAGTACAAACCAAAAATTGACGAAAATGGCTAAAAAAATGTCGAATTTTCGAAACATGAGGGACCAAATATGAAATCATTGCAAACTTGAGGGATGAAAACTGTATTTTTGACCTTATTTTCTTCCTAATCATTAATAACTCTTTAACTTATGAAAATTCCATATTAATTAATATATTTCATTAATTAAATCAATTACTATATTTGTCACAGGCCAACATTCTATAGGATATTAAAGAAGAAATCAACAGAAGGGTTTCAATCAGTGCCATATGTTGTTGGATTACTTAGCTGCATGCTGTGGATATATTATGCAACACTTAAATCAAATGAAACCCTTCTCATCACTATTAACTCCCTTGGCTCTTTCATTGAAGCCATTTACATTTTCATTTACATTTCTTATGCACCCAAAAATGCTAAGGTAATTTTTTTTTTTTTGGTGCAAAAATCCTAAGGTAATTTAATTATTATTATAGTTTTATTTTCTTATTTATTTACCGATATTGATATTTTTTTGGTTTTTTTTTTCCAGATTTTAGCCCTCGAGTTGATTATGCTTCTTAATGTTTTTGGGTTCGGATTGATTCTTGTTTTAACGCACTTCTTAGTGAAAGGATCTCAACGAGTTCATGTTCTTGGATGGATATCCGTAATATTGTCTGTGAGCGTATATGTTGCGCCTCTTAGCATCATGGTATAATTTCTCGATCGCATTGCATATTTTATTTGTCGTATTTTCCCCATATCGTTTTGTCATTTTAACAGTAATTGAATGCATAATTAATTAATTTTTTTAAAATAATTTTACATTTGGTCATAAATTATATCGAGAAAAATAGACACGAGAGAGAGGAGTATGATATCGATTAATGTTCCGATAATCTTGTTAGAAGGGTAATTTTGAATTTTCTTATCAAACTAAAAACTATTTAATGAGTGTTTTGTATGATTAAACCTCAAACCATATTTTTAAATAAAATGTCAAGGAGGAATACTAATTAAACACACACACACACGCGCGCGCGCGCACACACACTATGCATATCATTCTTGAGCAATTCAAATATTTTATTTGTTTTAATTTATCGTTTAATTTCGTATTTCTCGTTAATTATAGGATATATATTTTCACGTCCGACGTACATTTAAAGAAATAATTTGTTGATTTAATATAGGGTTAAATAATTTGTTGCATTTGATAGTTTGGGAACGTAAATGCATTAGTGATAGTACATGGGTGCAAACTGTATTTAATCCTTACTATATTACTATGTGATATAACTTTTTATAGTCACATAATATATAACATATTATTGTTGATTTAATATATGATGCAGAAAAAGGTTATACAAACAAAAAGTGTGGAGTTCATGCCAATATCATTATCATCTGCCCTCTTACTAAATGCTGTGATGTGGTTTTTTTAC